GATAGATAGATAGATAGATAGATAGATAGATAGATAGATAGATAGATAGCATATCAGATTTTTTTTTACTATACATATGGACTCTTCTGCACCATCCTGGTCATTTACACTATGCAATTACACTTTGCTCAGAAATGCCAAAATGTTGTCTTGTTTCTGGATGTTGGACATTATTCTCGGGAGAGGTGTCCTCCAGGTGGCACTGATTAAAACACGCGTCCTGCTCTGGTCTTCTCTGCTGGGAGACAGAAGCCATCTGGAACTCACCACAGGCCACCAGAGCGAACAGAACACACCCATATACATACCACCACTATCTGGGTCACTAGGACTACAACAGTCCTCTCCAAGGTACATTTCATAGGGCACAGGTGAGGAAAAACAGGTGCATGATCACATACACATGCACACAGCAACTAAACACACCTAATACACAAATATTTACCTACAGTATTACAAAATTTAACCTTCATTTCAATAAGAATGTCTGGGCCATTCCATCAAATCAGTGCATTTGCATCCCTATCATCAAAGATAGAATTGATAAAACAGCAAATAAATCTGAAATTAAAATCATTCATTCATTTTCTTGTCAGCTTAGTCCCTGTATTTATCCGGGGTCCTCACAGCGGAATGAACCACCAACTTATCCCGCAAGTTTTTACACAGCGGATGCCCTTCCATCTCTGGGAACCATTCACACACACATTCAAACACACTCTCATTCACTACGGACAATTTAGCCTACCCAATTCACCTGTACCGCATGTCTTTGGACTGTGAGGGAAACCGGAGCACCCGGAGAAACCCACACAAGCGCAGGGAGAACATGCAAACTCCACACAGAAACGCCAACTGAGCTGAGGCTTGAACCAGCGACCTTCTTGCTGTGAGGCGACAGCACTACCTACTGCGCCACTGCTTCACCCCTAAAATTAAAATCTGCAATTAAATTGGAATTAAAGGCACCTAAATAATATTTAAAGTAACAAGTGAAATGGTATTTATGCTGATATAGGTAAGGTTTTAGCCTGTCCCTCAACATTATTTAATGTCAACATTGTTACCATTCATTTTCTTTTCGGCTTAGTCCCTTTATTAATCTGGGGTCACCACAGCGGAATGAACCGCCAACTTATCCAGCATATGTTTTACACAGTGGATACCCTTCCAGCTGCAATCCATCACTGGGAAACATCCATACACACTCATACACTACGGACAATTTAGCCAACCCAATTCACCTGTACCACATGTTTTTGGACGGGGGAAACCGGAACACCCGGAGGAAACCCACACGAATATGGGGAGAACATGCAAATTCCACGCAGAAACGCCAACTGACCCAGCCAGGACTCGAACTAGTGGCCTTCTTGCTGTGAAGCAATTGTGCCACAGTGCTGCCCCATTGTTACTATTTTACAGGGTGAAAATAAACAATTATTTATTTAATCTAATATAAACAAGATGTCTAAGAAAAGCATCATAGTATGTGCATTTGTGACCAAATCTGTTATCATGAAATTATGTTACTTTGTCAGCACTATTTTTTGTATTTAATATATCAGTAGGCATAAATTTCATTTAGATCTCATTCAGTTTTTGGGATTTTTTTAGATCTTAGTGGTTAGCATTGTCGCCTCACAGCAAGAAGGTCGCCCGACTGGATCAGTTGGCATTTCTGTGTGGAGTTTGCATGTTCTCCCTGTGTATATGTGAATTGAAGAAATTAAATTGGCTGTAATGTATGAGTATTGATGTTTCCCAGTACTGGGTTGCAGCTGGAAGGGCATCCGCTATTTGAAACACAAGCTAGTTTAGTTGGAGGTTCATTCCGCTGTGGCGACCCCTGATGAATAAAGGGGCTAAGCCGAAGGAAAATGATTGAATGAATGACCTTCCAGTTTTTAATTGCATTGTATTGTGTATAAAGCTCTTCTTTTAAAACATCTCGTAGTATTTTTCATAACTGACATATGATCATCCTCCAAAAATACGAATCTGTGGGATTGTTTTTAATCCCATTGAGTAGAGGGAGTAAAAGACTGCTGATATAAAAGAAAACTCTTATTTTAACTAAAACTGTTATTTAGTAATGCTTGTGCATAACATGAATGGAAAAAAACATCCAAACATGAGGTAAAAAAGCTTTTATATATAGTCTTAATAAAAGAAAATAAGTTGACACTTTGCATAAAAGGGCGGTTCATAAGGCTGTCATGAAACCTTTATAATTCATATCATGAAAATGAATGGGGGTTTATGCATGCTTATGGTAACTGTCATTAATTGCCATTCGCTTGATGACTACTTAAATGCAAAGATTACATTTTTAAAGATGAAAAAACATGACACCATTAAGACACAATAACTTGTCATGAATCTGTCATAAACATGATTGTAACATAAGGCTGTTATGAATTTTATAACAGCATCATTAATATTTTTCCTTAATAATAGAACAAATTAAAATTTTCATTAAAATGGCATTACATATTAATGACACTGATATGAAATTATTAGACAGAGTAGTGATATTTTTCAATGAGAAGTTTTAATGACAATTTCATTCATGGCACAATTATTATAGCCTTATGACAATCAGGCTTTTGACAAATGTACTAGTTATCTTGTCTTGGTAATGTAATGTAGTCAGGACAAAGACAGCTTTTAGACAGGTTGGACAGAAACATGTTGGGATCCATTTGTTCATGTCAAGTTGTCATAACAGAGACATCTCAAACAATGATACCTTTGCATTTAAAATGAGATAACGGAGCTAATAAACGCACTGAGCATTTCTATGCATGAAATCTCCTTTATATTCATGACACATGTCATGTCATGCTTATAAAGTTTTCATGACAATCTTGTGCACACCCCTTCAATTACAGTGTGACCAAAACTAAACAGCCTAAGATGCCACAAACACAATTTCACGACAATTTAAAGCTTTTTTCATTTCATGGATATTAAAAATACATGTATTAAACATATTATATATTATTGAAAAGAAAGCAATTTGGTAAAATGACCCATCTGCTATTCTTGAGGCTGTGAAAATGAACACAGAATTCTCCATTACATCACAGCTATTAGCAATAATGATAATTGCACCATGTTACTAATTTCACTCCATCACTTTTTTCCCCTGGAGTGATAAAAATGGCTCTCCACCACACCCGCTCCTCAAGTTGTTCTCTTCTGATCTCTCTCTCTGTCCCCATCTCTCTTTCAGCTCACTGAGCCGGCTGAAATATCTTTCTGACTAAATGATTTTTTTGCACTGTGGGGACGTTGCCATGGAGACTGTGGCTCCCCCGGCCCCCACCCCTCAGCGCGTGCTCTCATCTGTTCATGTGTGTGTGTGTGTGTGTGTGTATTGGGGAATGGGTAGTTGTGCTAACTGGCGTGTCTTCACCTCAGCAGTGTCTCCAGCTGTGCGGTTCTCATGCTGCTCGCACAGTGCCGATGTGTTGCAGGTGCAGGTCTCAGTGTATGTGTGTATGGATCCGTCCACCTCTTCCTCTTGTTTCTTTTTTGTTCTCCTTGACACTATTTCCCTTTCTCATCACAGCGTCCTTTAAAGGGACTACATGCGGAGCTAGTCCTTTAACATCTAGGTGCCTAAACAACAGATTTCCTGTAAGTGCATTAATAAAAAACACTGAGCACAAAACCCTCAATTTGTTACTTCAGAACAGGTTCAGTGTAGTGTTGAAAGACTCAGTTCTAAAATATATTTAAAAAATGGCAAATGACAGGACAAATATGATACAAAAATGTACAACTAATAAAACCAATTTAGGCGGTTATTGAAACAAGCAATCAAATCAAAATATTTTCTGAAAAGTATGTTTTAAATGTACACAGATTTTCTTCTATAGGAGCAGTGAAAGGGTTTCTAGTTTCCTTTTGATACTCCCATTTGTTGTTTGATTATCAGTGAATGCAGTGCCACACTTGTTCATTTAAGACACATCTGCACCCAAAAATTTACTTTTGCTGTTAAAACTACTTGTTTAAAATCAGTTGACACTATACAATTATTATCAGGGTTTGCCACAGCAGAATGAACCACCAACTATTCCAGCATATGTTTTACACAGTGAATGCCCTTCCAGCCGCAACCCATTACTGAGAAACACCCATACACTATGGCCAGTTGCAACATGTTCATTCTGAAAATGTAGCCCTATATACATTTCTGGAGATCACAAATTATGTAGCCAGAAGTACATGAAGCTGCATTTCATGTTTAAAACGAATGCTATGGTGTAGTATGACGCCGTTCCTTTTCGTGCTTACCAGCTGACTGCTTACCTCTGTATAGATGGCTTTCCAGCTGTCACCAGATTGTCCAGTTAGCTCATCATGTACGTCGACGAACTTAAGATGCAGAGAGGTGTTGACCATGGTGATGGGATTTGATTCCAGTGAAAAACGCTTCCAAAAAGCAAGTAAGACAAAAACAGAATCCAAAAAATAAAATAAACAAGTTAAACGAGGTAAAAATCACGTGAGGGCTTTTCTTTTTCTAAATTGCTTTTAAAAATTGTTTGTTGGGTTTTTGGAAGTGGGTGGACAGCTCAACCGGTGCTTTTGAAAATACTATTGGTTGGGCTTAGGGAAGGAGGAGGAGGGCAGGTCAGTCGATCAGTTAGTCAGTCAGTCAGTCAAACAGTCATTCGACAGCAGCCACTGGTGGATTTACATGATAACACCAAGCGCAAAGAGAAATTTGAGATCCCAAAAAGCGTACACAGCGGCCTTTGGTGGATTAAAAAAAAACAAATACTGCCAAAAAAAGGGATGTATTTGGCGCTCTCTAGAAATGTATATAGAGATACATTTTCAGACTGAGCCTGGGTTGGCCAAATTAGTTAATCCATTCACCTATAGCGCATGTCTTTTGGACTGTATAGGGGAAACCAGAGCACCCATAGTAAATCCATGCGAACAGGGGGAGAACATGCAAACTCCACACAAAAATGCCAACTGGCCGAGCCGGGACTAGATTCAGTGACCTTCTTGCTGTGAGGTGACAGTGCTGACTACTGAGCCACGGTGTCGCCCATTGTTTCATGTTCAAACGACTTAAATTCATAAAATGATTCATTAATTAATTAAATTGGGTCAACATGAAGGAACAGCGTGGAAGCATGTTTTGCAGTGTATAACTTTTATGTTCAGACATGTCTAGACAAATATGCTCTAAATCCCAAACTGTTTCAGTCCTCAGATAGCTTGTACAGACGTGGAACAGTGTTTCTTTAGCATGTGAAAAATATTTGCAGTCACAAAACATTACATCTTACTTAGAGATTACAGTAGGAAGGACAGCCAGTCGCTTTAAAAGTAGGAACAGAATGTAGCTTTGCTGGAATATGAAATAAAAAATGAAACAAAAAAAAAAAATCTATTGCACAGCCCTAGTCATTATATCACCTTTATAGTGCAAGTAGTCTCCTAGTGGTTCAGGGACTCTACGCAGCTTGAGTACTGTGTGTATATGAGAAACTAGTCTAGCTATTTGTAAGAAGTTGCATGTATTAAAAATACATTTTTATTGTCAATGTATGAACAGCTTGTAACATGAAAAGCTTTCTCTGACGTTCAAGGATGTCTATGAAAACCAGATAAATTTTATGTTAATGACTTGGGAGGTTTTTGCAGAGAAAATCAAAAGCATGCGATGTTTACACATTTTCCCGAGAGCCTCTCTTCTGCTCTGACACATGAAAGCCTAGACAATGTTCAAAATAATGCCAAAAAGTAATGTCAATGTGACAAAATAAGAAAAGAAAACTCAAATGATGGTCTCATATTGGCATTTCTGCTGTAAATGGTGCATTGTTACTGCTGTAACAATAATAACAGTGTCATTTTCATTAACTCATCTGCTGACATGATGCTGATGAGCTGCGAACTTGTGCAAATATATTCATACTGCTATGATCAGATGCTTTCTCAGCTGTTGTTTTCTCATCACTGGCATGATTACTGGTCATGTGTTATACAGTGTTAATTTCGTTGACGAAGACTATGACGAAAATTATTCGTCAACGAACATTTTTTACAGACGAAAACTAAATAAAAACTAAATAAAAAGTCAGATACGATGACGAAGACGATGACGAAATTTAACTGACACTTTAGTCAACGAATAAAAACGAGAGGAAAATGTTGGGGCGGGACGAATGGAGAAGAGATCCAATAAGAACTACCCTTTTGTGGGGAAACCCAATCAGAGCGAATCTTTTGAGGGCAGGTTGATCTTGGCAAAGCCATTTTCAAAACAAAAGCCGCGGTTTTCAAGTTATGATGACGTTTGTTATACATTATATTTAGTTACACATTATACTCGGTTACAAAGCGTTGGTTAATTTAAGTTGACTTTTCTCGTTAGCAACACGCTAAAGTTTTGTTCACTCGGTCCGAGCGCAGCGTCTCATGAACAGACAGACAGAAATGTCAGAGCTTGGTCTAGGACGAAAACGAAGAATTGACATCTGGTCAAACTTCACATATGACAACAAGGACAACAAGAGCGTCTGTAAACCATGTGGAGTAAAAATCGCTGGGAAAAACACCACCAACTTGAAGCGACATTTACAGACGGCTCATCCAGAAATCCACACCAAGGTAAGCATAAACGCTAACGTTAAGGTTATCCTATAAGATAAACCACCGTGATTCTGCTAAACTTGGAATAAAATTGAAGCCAAAGGAAATTAACTTTGAATAGTATTGATTAAACGAATTGTCTCGCTGAATTAATTAATATAAATATGTGTACTATTATAATAGATGTTGTGGTGTTATATATGACTCGACAAAAGGTGTGTGTGTGTGTGTGTGTGTGTGTGTGTGTGTGTGTGTGTGTGTGTGTGTGTGTTATATGGCAAGAAAGAAAAAAATATCTCAACTTTGTATATCATTTATATATCCTCATAGATACAGAAGATGTCTGATGACCATGGGCCAGGTGGAAATAAAGCTAGTGATGCTACTAGTACAACACAGCAGCAGGCCATCTCAGATTTCCTAAGGTCTTCAAAGTACAAGACTGAATCAAAGGAACAACAGACCAAGGAGCAGGCCATAGCTAGATGGATTGGACGGACAGGTTTACCACTCACAACAGTTGAGGATGAGGACTTTGTGCTAATGATGGGGATGATAGATGGGAGACTAACAGTTCCAAAGAAAACTAAAATTAGCAATTTAATTGAAACACAGTATGAACATGAAAGACAGAAGTTCAGAGAGAGTCTGGCTGCTGCCCGGAAAGTATCCATTGGCCTTGACTTGTGGACAAAAAAAGGATTGACAGCCTCATTCCTTGCTATAAGTGCATGCTACTTTTGTGTTGAAAAAAGTAAACCTGCACACATATTGTTGGCCCTTCAACAAGTAGGTCACCCACACACTGCACAGGCTATTAAGGCATGTGTGGACAAATGCATGCAAGAGTGGACCATACCAAAGGAGAAGATCCTGACTGTAATAACGGACAATGGGAGTAACATGGTGGCAGCCTTTAAAAACACCACAGCAGAAGAAACCAGCTCTGAGGACGACTCCCCTGGGTCCACAATCGAGAGTGACTCTGAAATTGATGACCAGCGGTAAGCCATATTTACTTTATTCTTTTTCCTGAGAGTCAATCATCACAAATTATTACTCCCTGCCACACACTAGATATATACAGTATACACATATGCACACCAGCCACTTTATTAGGTTTAGACTTATTTGATTCTCTTTTTTTTTATTGTTAGGTATCGTCATGTCGACATGGAATTGGACCGGACACCATGTGTTGTGCATACCATACAACTGGTGGTCCACATGTTGCAGAAAGAAACAACTGTCAAAAGAGTTCTCGATAAAGCTAGGTCTGTGGTGAAGCTCTTTCGCAAGTCCTCAGTTGCAACACAAAAGTTATTGGACCAATGTGGTGTTATTGTTGTAAATGACTGCCCCACACGCTGGTCAAGCACATTTAACATGATCACACGACTCCTCAAAGTCAAAGATGCAGTCTGTCAAATCTCAAATGACATGGGATGGGACAGTTTGCTTACTAGTGAGTGGCAAAAGCTTTCCTCATTGCATGACCTATTGCTGCCTTTTGCAGAACACACTAAAACTCTTCAGAGTGACACCACATCTATGTCTCTAGTGGTTCCTGCCCTCTTTGATCTGCTTACCCACCTAACTGACTTTGCAGTGAACACTCGGTACAGAGACCTCGCTACTCTTGCAGACAAGATGAGATCAAATCTGAACCAGCGTTTTGCTTGCATCTTGGATACAACTGATGAAAAGTTTTCACCACTTGCAGCAGCTGCCTGCTTTGTTAACCCAACTGTCTGTGAAATCATTGTTAATGTTGATGTTGCTAATGGAAATATCCAGGAACTGCTAAAGCAGGCAGAAGACTATGTAGTCAAATGCACAAAACAGGAGGGCCAGTCTGAAAATGATGAAGAGGAGGTTATTGAGGAACCAGAAGCAGCGCCCTCCTCAAAGCAGCCGGTGTTTAGGTTTCTCTCAAAATGCCGCACCACAAGGCCTAAACAGAAAACCTCCACAAGCAACATCAGGCAGCAGATCATCAAGTACAAGGAAGAACTCTCCCATCCCATCACTGAGGACACAGGAACAGACTTCTGGCTGGGAAAGAGTGACAGTGTTTACCACAGTTTAAAACCTTTTGCATTAGACTTGTTAGCTATGCCCGCTTCTCAAGCTTTTGCAGAGAGGGTATTTAGCATCACAGGTGACCTCACAAGAGGACGGCGCAACAGAGGAAGGGTCACATTGGAGCGAAGTGCTTTCCTTAAAATGAACAGAAACAAATAGAAATATTGTATTCACTATTGCAACATTTCCTGTAGTAGTATACAATTTACACAGGACAGTAACCGCATGAAGAAAATGATGCTAACATAGTTGTATGGTTTTTTTTTTTGTTTGTTTGTTTAATGTGATTTACCTGTATTTTCACTGCTGAGAGAGCAGAGAGGAGTTTTTATTTACTTGAACTTTAAGGACTATTTCTTTGGCATTGCAGCCAATACATCTTTTGTTCTAACTTTAAGAATTGCACTAATTTGTTCTGTTCAAAATCATGTTGATTTTACAGAGTAGCAAGGCATTGTGTCTTAGAAGTTATTTAACTTCTCTTGAGGTACATGGACATTTACAGTAGTGTTTATTTTTTGTATTTAGATACCTTGTGAAGTGGCATTACAACCAGTTATTTTAATTTTTTGAGAATTGCACTTTATATTTCTTTATGCTTTTGATTTTGCAAAGACTGTAAAAGACAGTAAGTTCATTGGTTATCTATTTCAATAATGCTGTACTTTATCTTGAAAGAATGTCATATGCGTTTCATATAATTCCGGGACAATGCATATCTTTTTCAGGGAGCATGTATATTGTTCAGGGAGAGCAGGTCTTGTGGTTATTTTTTGTGAAAAAGACTCATGTTTTTGACATGTAATAAAATGTTTTTATTACAACAATTAGATATGTGCCTGTATTCTATATATGCTTCCATATATTGTATTATACTTACAGTTACATGAATTATGGAGAAAAATCTGCTAATATTTGGTCTACTAAAACTAGACTAAGACTAATAGACTTAAGACTAAACTAAGACTAAAACTCTTATGATATTTAGTCAACTAAACTAGACTAAGACTAAAAGATTTCAGATGACTAAAATAGGACTAAAACTAAATGGTGTATTATTCCAAAGACTAAGACTAAGACTAAATCAGAATTTGCTGTCAAAATTAACACTGGTGTTATAACAGAGAGAAACACATGCAGTATCATGTCAATGTTGAGCTCAGTAGAATAGATGCCATCTGGATATCTGTAATCAAAATATTTTTCTAATCAAACAAACAAAAAAAGAACTTTTCGTAGAGTACATTGCAGCCTTGAATCACATTTAGTTTTTTGCATTAATGTTCATTAACAAGCAAAAAGTTGATGACCGCAGCTCACTTAATGAAGTTTAGATTGCTTGCAGCCGGCCCGCATTATTCAATTTATGGTTCACATTTCAGAAGATATAAGCCACTATAAATACCCTAAGTTCCATATAACTGCTATCTAGTTTTGAAGAACCCCCCCTTCCACCCCTACTCCTCATACTCCAAGATGGGTGGCACGGTGGCCCTGTGGTTAGCACTGTTGCCTCACAGCAAGAACGTCACCAACGTTTCTGTGCGGAGATTACACGTTCTCCCCGTGCTCACATTGGTTTCCCCCAGGTTCCTCGGTTTCCTCTCACTGTCCAAAAACATGCAACCTAAGTTAATTGACTAATCCAAATCGGCACCATAGACATGCTCCTAGTAAGTGGTTAACTCTTAAGAGCAATCACTACCTGTTCATTAGCTACTACAGCAGGGGAGTTCCGAGATCTACCTGAGCTCAAACTCCCCTCTCGCCTTGCAAACCAGCGGGAGCCCCGGGCTCGAGGATCTTATTAGCTCAGGGCTCTCTCCCAGGACAGCTTTATAATCAATCATAAGCTAAGTTTGAACTCTTGAAACAGCCAATGATGTCACTAATAGGTAGGGTTTCTGAAATAAAAAAACATCTTACCTAAAGGTTTTGTCTTGTTTCTAGTCCAAATATATATACAAAATATTAATCATGAAGCGTTATCCAGTCAAGACAATTGTTTAGTTGTTTTTTTAGAAAAATAAAAGCTATAGTTAACATTGAGATTACACTTACAAGCGTTAAATAGATGTGTTAAGAAAAAACATCCAAAAAAATCCATTGTTAATTGTTGATACACTGTAAAAATTGTTGGGTTCCACAAAATTGATTTGTGTTGGGAGAACATAAAGGAGTTAAGTTAGCTTACCAGTTTGCACAAAGTAGATTGATGATAAAATAATTAAGTTCTGTATATAATTTTAATGTATACGAGTGCCGTAAAGGTGTCAGAAAGTTTACCCTGGTGCCATGAAATAAATGTGCTTTATCTGACCCTATTGCTGCGTCTTTAATCTATTAATGAGACCTCTATTAACTACTATTTTTTTATCTGCTGTAACATTTGGACAAAATATGCTCATTCTAATAGTTTAATAAAATGAATTTGATTTTTGGAAATCACCAAGCGACCCCTACCCCCCTTATTTTTCCACGACCCCCACTTTGGGAACCACTGGTGTAATAAACAAAGCTCAATTTCCACCAAATAAAACAGAAGCCAAGAAAACCAGCAAATGATATCATGTCACTTCTCAGACATTCTGCCAAAAGACAAGCACTGATTCAGCGTGTTCAATCAGCAAAGCTCTGACAAATGCCAGCAGACACCAACAGGGTTAACACGCTGATCTGACAAAGAATCTTTTGCTGTCTAGCAGTGCAGTGTGAACTGGCAATCAAAATCAGCATTTTACATTGCTCTCCTGGGGGCAAACAATTAATCCATGCAAGTAAATCCTAAGAAATCCAATCATTTGTCTTTAGTCAAAATATACTGTAAAATGTGCTCTGAAGTGGGATTCTTTTACTATAAAAAATGCTGCGATCCACATAATCTCTTCATGTTGTCTAAACGCGAATAGATTAAGTTAACCTAATGGTTTTTACAAATTTAAGTTGATTAAACATTTAAGCCCAAAGGCCCCCCCCCCCCCAAAAAAAAACAAAAAAAACTCAAGAATTGTGTTGTTTCAGCTCATTTTAAATAAGTACTTTGAACAAGCAGCAAACATAGTTTTGAGTGTTCTCTGATGGCTCTGTGTTGACAGTTTTGCTTTTAACCAGTCCCCTCAAACTGCTAGTTTTTCACCAGTTTCATAAATGCGGCAAGGAGTGCTGAAGTAAAACTCTCCCCTGCATTTAATCTTTCATTTCAGCCAGATATATATCACAACACTGAGGTTGAAGTAGAAACTTTCAGTTCATGCAGACTTTAAGAAGCAAAGTTCACTCAGAAGTCGATGTCAAACCAAGTTTTTGTTGGCACGACTTGAGTCTGTTGTGCAGGAAACTCTTAAGCAACATTCACAGTCAAGAATACCTGATCAAACCAATTCAAACTAATGAAAAATAGTTTTTAACAACTACAGTTGAAGTCAGAATAATAAGCCCCCCTGATGATGTTTAACAGAGCAAAGAAATTTTCAGCTTGTCTGATAATATAGTTTTTTTTTTTCTGAAGAAAGTCTTATTTGTTTTATTTTGGCTAGAATAATAGCATTTTTAGGCCAAAATTATTAGCCCCTTTAAGCTAACTATTTTCAACTGTCTAAAAAACAAACCATGCAATAATTTGCCTAATTACCCTAACCTGCCTAGTAAACCTAATTAACCTAGTTAAACCTTTAAATGTGACTTTAAGCTGTATAGAAGTGTCTTGAAAAATATCTAGTAAAATGTTATTTACTGTCAATGTTATTTATCATGGCAATGACAAAATGAATCAGTTATTAGAAATGAATTATTAAAACTAAATTATTATTATTTTTATTATTAATTAGTAATAGGGGAAAAAAATAATAGAGGGGGCTAATAATTTTGACTTCAACTTTTTGTATGTTACATAACGCCTCAGTTTACTGTAGCTAAAACTTAAGTCATTCAATCATTTTCCTTTGGCTTGGTTTCTTAATTATTAGGGGTCACCACAGCGGAATGAACCACCAATGATTCCGGCATTTGTTTTACACAACGGATGCCCTTCCAGATGCAACCCAGTACTTGGAAACACACATACATTCTAGAATTCACTCATACACCACTGCCAATTAGGTGAATTCAATTCACCTACTGTATACCGGTAGGTGTGTCTTTAGACTGTGGGGGAAACCGGAGCACCCAGAGGAAACCCACATATGGGGGAATATGGGAAGAACATGCAAACTCCACACAGAAACGCCAACTGGTTTAGCCAGGACTTGAACCAGCGACCTTCTTGCTGTGTTTATCCTTTCGCTACAGTTATTACTACAGTATGCTGTAGTATTCATTAACTAAGAGCTGTAAATACTGTAATATATACAATATAATACACTTTACTATAATATGATAAAAAATAGCATTTACTTAAAAATTACTAAAGTATTGTTTCATGTTGACATACAGTATGTTTAGGTATCATGTTGTTCTGACGATGATTTAATTCTGTTAATTCTATGTATTTTTCCATTGGTACTTTAAACATAAAACATTCCCGATGAACTACTGTTCTCTTAGCATGAAGAACATTGTAATAAGCCACTATTTTCCTCCATTAATGACCTTAGAAGGTTTCTATGGATTCTTCTTCATGAAACAAACATTGGCAATAAACATCCTTTTTCAGCATTTATACATTGACCCCATTCACTGCAAATATAAATAAATCCCCCTACATCTACACTATGTTTTGTTATCCCACAAGTTTTTTTATAAATATTTGACCAACATTGAATCTGGATAATGGAATATTCAATTTATTTCATTCCCTCAATAGTTTTGTTCCAGCTATCAGCCAGTCTTTTATCTTGTTATTGCTGTTTTCACAGTGTTCAATACTCGGCCAGTTGCATAAACTGCTATGGCTATAACCCAGCTGTCAATTGCATAAAAAATTGGAGTGGTCAAACTAGCTCTTAAGATAACAGCTGTTCTCCTGATCTCTTGTCAAGATTTACCCCCTCTGTAGCACATTTGTAGTCTTCACCACACGCTAATTCCCTGCACCTCAGTCTCCCCTGCTGTATCTGTGAGTGTCAGAGAGTGCTGACTCTGCGTACAGCGAGGCTCGCATGAACACTGTATTAGACTCACATGAATGTGACTCTTCCAAGCAAGATGGAGGCCAATGAATCAGGCAGTAACGAATCGAACCCTCTGCTAAGAATGGCTGCAATTAACGCCATGGGTGTTTTGTGACCGGAAAAGCCATAAGGATACAACCTGAGGCTGAAGCGGGAAAGGGGATAGGTTTGATTTATGGATATGAGCCCCCTCCCCAGAGAGTTGTAATTCTATAGCAATCGCTGATTGGCTCCTGTACTAGAAGGCGGCCTTTATCGACATATATTGATCGCTGATTGGGCGCTCTACTAGAAGGCGGGGTTTCAATTGCCATATTGAAAGTTACACTTTTTCACATTCAAATGTAAACGAGTGAGATGTCATATGTATTCTATAGGCTTTGTTTAAGGCCATTTGGTGATTTCAGTCATAATACAGTAATGTTATTAATGTTAGTAATGTTATAACATGTTATAACATGCTTCTTCTGCTCTCATCTCTCAGTCATTGCATGTAAAGATCTTCTTGGACACTTCCAAATGGTTTGCTGCATTTCAAGAGTTCACACTATAAGCTGATGATTGATAATAAAGCGTATTTGGCATGCTGTCCTGTGAGAGAGCCCTAAGCTCAGAATATCCTTGAGCCTGGGGCTCTCTCCCGTTTGAAGGGCAAGAGGAGAGTTTGAGCTCAGGTAGGTCTCGAGAACTCCCCTGCTTGTGAGCGTGCTGAGATATATCTGGCTAAGAGTTTCTTTAAGATGCCATTTTAAAGTAGTCAATTTACTTGTGTTTAGACAGTGGGAGGAAACCGAGAAACTCTGGGAAAACCCTCGTGAACACAGGGAGAACATGCAAACTCTGCACAGAAATACCGACCGGGGTCGAACCAGTGGTAATCTTGGTGTAAGGCAACAGTGCTAACCACTGGGTTAGGAGTAGGAATGGAAGTAGGAGTAGAAGGGGGGATTTTTCAAGACGAAGATGACTGGAGTAGAAAGCTCTGGTAATTTATAGTGTGTCAGTATTCGTCTGATTGGTGCAATATGCAGAGCTGATGCGGTACCAGCTGTGTTCAATCATAAGCACGTGATCCTCTCAAATGTAGTTAATAAATAAACCACACTTATAAAGCGCCCATAACTTGAGGTTGTTCAATATGATGCGATTTAGTTTCTATGTGCGATTTGACTGGACAGAAATCGCAGGACGGATTGTTCTACTCAGCCAATCACCATAAACAAGAAAAATTAAAGTATTGACTGCAGGTTGAAGGAAAATAGTAGAGCAAAAGTACTGATACAGCACTGAAATATACTCAAGAGAAAAGTACACATTTTTTACACATTACAATTCCTGAGGAAAAACTACTCAATTACAGTAATTTGAGTATTTATAATTTGTTACTGTACACCACTGGAGATGACAACCTATGGCTATGAATTTTGTTTGCTTGCCTATAGGAAGGCAGAAGCATGAACAGTACATGGACGCTCCACACTGCGTTTATATAAAGAGAGCCCACGATAAAGTATTCATGATGGCAACTAAATAATTACACACAAGTTAATGCACAGCGGGAGGGGGAAGGGAGCGAGACAGAGCAAGTAAAAGGTAGACAGAAAGATCTGGGTGACGAACAATCCATTACATCAATACAAACAGGTTTTTTCATACATATGTTTTATTTCAGCCATCATCGCTCCAGCCTTAGAATCATCTTCTTATCATTCACATATTCATCCTCCTAACAGTTTTTTGGGGGATTTTTTCATTATTATTATTATTGTTTTTTGCAATTTTGTTTTTGTTTGTTGTTGTTTTTTTCTTCAGCTGAAATGTTCTCTCGCCCTGACTGCATTTCATTTTAATCTAGCTCTTAATCTCAGCTTAATCTGAACATATAAAAAAGTAAACCTTTATTTTTTTTTCCTTGAATAAAACTAAAAAAGCAAACGAACGAACAAACAAAAGTATACCCAGAAACTGTAATACCATTTCAAAGAGGATATACAATATTAACAACATTAATCATCAGTGTTTCGATGATAACGAACAGGTTGCTAGGTCAACATGTTTGTCATTAGTAGTGTTAGTATCAAGATCATCGTCAGATTTCTGTGTTGAGCATCACTCATTAAATTATCATTGCATCAAGTTGACATCATCCATGTTAATATAAGCATGCAAACACATTTCCTCAGGATCATTCAGAATTGCACTGACATAGTGAGACAGAGGAAAGAGGGGAGACCAACCAAGAGCTAAAAACATGAGCTGGGGGGTTGAAAGTTTCTTGAGTCTAGTGTGTAAGCTGATGAAGGGGTCAGAGGTCACGCTACAGGGATCGTGCCTCCACAGTGTAAGATCTAAGGCAGCAGAAGAAATGGGCCTGGAGACTGTGGGTCGATACCACATCCACGTGTATGACGGAATCAATGGCCTCTTAGAAAACAACAAGAGCTGATATACGATAACGGACTGAGCGCACACTGGCAAGAGTGTGTGCGTGTGTGTGAGTGAGTGTGTGTGAGTGTGTGCATGTCCTGAGGCCGGGCATGTGATTAATAATAGAAACAGAGAAAATATGAGCTCAGGGGGCTACGGTGGGAAATAATTATACTGATGTACATTTCAATAACATGAGCGGTAGTGATTGGTAATGCAGAATTCCTCCATTGAGGGATGTGTGCGGCAGCATTGGCAGTGGTTGTACTGCGATATTAAAGGGATAGTTCACCTCAAATTAAAATTCTGTCATCGTTTTATTCCAAACCAGCATGATTATCTACAAAAGATAACATTGTGAACTAAAAGCCAATGAACGTCCAAAAACAACAAAGGAAGACATTAGCTATGTTTTCATTTAAAGATGTGAAATACATTTATGCGCAAAACTGGAATATCGCATGAAAGACATGCGAATAAAGCAGCCTTTTCATCCGAGTCAAAGACAACAAAATCTACACTTCTTGATTATCTGGCGCCAAATATCAACAGTAAAAATATAATTTACTGCGGTAGAAGAAGCTACTCAATCTTTTCTCAATTTAATAAAATACTTGCGCCTCAGAAGACAATGCCGTCACGCAATGAACGCGTGGTGGCGTTTGAAGGCGTAAAAAGCAAAGCACAGATGATCTTTACAGTTCTGGAGGTAATTAATAATATAATAACATGAATACTGAAATGGTTAAAGCATTTAAGAATAACCAAAGCAACATTTCAGATGTTTTACAGTGTGCTCAGCCTGCTGGTTTGTCCATTTACACATATTTGTATCATCACATGATCTCTTATAACAAAATCACATGACTTTTTTAATGCGCATACTGGAATTCGATCTGTAAAAGTGTCTCCATCGTAGTGTTTTGCTGATCTTTTTTGCCGAATAAAAAGTTGATCCTACTCAGTTATGCGCATTTTTTTTTCTTCGTATTTTCAAAACTTATGTGCATCTTGGCACTTCCATCAACTGTTTTTTATACACATAACCAAACTAGGGGCTTGAAAACATAGCTATTGACAAAAAAGTAAATTCTCAAGATATAGTACGTTTTCAAATTCGAAGTACCTGAGCAGTGACACACTGTTAGCGAGCAACTGGTGGCATCCATGCTGCTGAGAGCAATGTGCAGATGAACATGTAAATGCAGACTCATGTTTTCCACTCAATATCTGAATAAATGTACAACTCAAACGACAACAGTGAGAAAACAGCAGTAAAGAATTAATCTGATGATAGTTATGTGTATGTTTGCATGAGCAAACATTCACTTATATTGCACTTTATAAAGTAGACTGCTTTACATAGATTTTCCATTAGATGTCGCCTACGCTATTGTTGTCTGTTGGAAGGAATGCGTCAATAGAGCCGCCATTTTAGTTCAGAGTAGTGCTCTTTTGAAATGAATATGGGACCAAGGTGCAGTAGAGGACTGGCCACCCTAAGCCATAGATATATAGGCATATATACATATATCTATAATCTGGAGTTTTCCCGGTGGTCAGTATTATGACATATTATAATTTGACATAACTTTTCTTTATAGATGGATAAGTGATCGCACGGGCATTGCTGACAAAGAGCGATTGTTTTTGTGTAGGGAAATGAATTATTCTTCCTCCCTGTTAAATTTGATCTGTATCCTGAAACACACCCCCTCTCCTGCTTTCACTTCTAATGCTAATGGAGGGACTGATTCGTTTGTGAATCTCCGTTATGAATGACTTGTGTGAACCATCGATAACCCTGCATCTCAATGTGCATATCTACCTTTCTGATCTAATTTTATGTAACATTTGTATTATTCAATATTTTAGGGTGGACAGTTTGCACACTGAGGCGCAGGCACTGTTATTATCAGACACCCTTCGAAGTTACTTCAAAAACTAGCCATTACTTGAATTACAGCCGAAAATATGATAAAGTTTATAATATAATAAAGTTTCTGGCACCACAGCGTCTTGTTGTCATATTCCCTTTACATTGTTTGCTGATTTTATTCAACAAAACTAGCATAAGCCTAGTGTTTAGCGCGAGTTGGTGCTACTTTGCCTTATGATCAGAGCAGTAAGAGACTGTATTATCATCAATAATGCTACTTGTTTAGCACAAAAATACGTAACATACAAAAATGTAAAAAATGAAATCTTACCTAAAAAATGTGATGCCTTTATGCTTTGTTTTCTTTGGTTGCTCGTTACTACACCCATACACAATGCAAAAGTCCAGGATCTTCCGACTGGCCTTAGTCTTGACTAGTGCGGTTAAACAACAATTGTCCTAGAAGGGGACCCGTATGCGATATCTAGTGTATATATCTAAAGCAGCTTCTCAGTGTTTATATTTTATCACAAACATACTACCATGACAAGCTTAAAATGGAATTCATTCTTTTTTTTTTTTCGCGCTTAGTCCCTTTATTAATCATGGGTCGCCACAGCAGAAGAAACCGCCAATGTAGCCAGCATATGTTTTACACAGCAGATGCCCTTCCAGCTGCAACCCAACACTGGGAAACACCCATACACTGGTGCACTCACACACATACACTACGGCCAATTTAGCTTAGAAAATTCTAATTTAACTGACCCAGCCAGGGCTTGAACCAGCGACCTTTTTGCTGTGATGCGACAGTGCTACCCACCGCGCCACCGTGATGCCCTAAAATGGAACGAAACTAAGAAAACTAGAGAGTAGCCACACCTAATTATTACATCATCACAATGGACTAATAGTATTTTATAGGTGTTCACCAGCCAAAGCAAACTGTAAGGTTTAAAAGTTTCTGGGCCTTAAGCGATGACAGAATTGAAATTTTTGGGCAAATGATCCTTTTAATAGCGGCAGTGACCCTGGGTATCAAGGGTATGTGAAGGTTTTGATAATGCTCTGACTAGAGAAGCAGCAACCTGAACGTTTACGAGAAAATAAAATGCATCTGAAGTCAGTTTGTAATGTCAAAACTTTAAAAGTAATCTTGTGGAAAGGTGAAACAAATGTCCCCCTCTTTGTCTCTGTTCGCAAGGAATGCTCAGACATAAAAGATAGTCACATTAGCCAAAAAGAGATGAAGAGAACCAGTTTGTCTTTTTTTCTCCACTTTTTCTTTTAAAGACAATGAAAAAACTTCCAACATTTTAGCTGTGGCCATCAGGTCTGTCCCCTCCTACATACAGAGCACATTTACAAAAAAAAAGAAAAGGAAAAAGAGTGAGAGAAGCACACCCAACACGAGAACACAGATCAGGCTAGGGACGAGCTGGTTAGGGACACAACGGAGACAGGTCACAACCACATTCTACAGAGAACGACCGAAACGCGCATCTGAGAAATAGACCCTGTCCCTACCAAGTGCAACAGGTCCTACACAAGAAATAGTTCCTCTAAGACACAGGACAGGAGACACTTGATTGTTCAAAAAATGAGATTTTCTCTGTGCAGGACAAAGGCGAGGGAAGTGGAGACGTACACGGGGTCACGGTGACATATACCAACATACAGGCATACACGCGCACACATCCAAACCAACGAGCAAACGCATATCGACACAAAAAGAGCACTCCCACAAACACATCAGATACACGGGAGGAAAAATTAGAAAGAAAAAGTGGACGAATGTGTGTGTGTGTGTGTTTCAGAAGTGGTCCTCTTGGCAGAAGGATGATGGAGAGCACACTCTTCCTCTTTTGAAATTAAAAATGTCTGAGAGAAAAAAAATCTTGGCGTGGTATAAAAATAAAATACTATGGCCAGATCTTTTTTTTTTCTCTCTCTCTCTCCCCCCTTTGGATATGTTTCCAGGAAGTGCACACAAATCCAAGCTCAGTCCCAGTTAGGGTCCGCTGGCAATGTTTGAAATCAATGAAAGCTCCCATTGGAAGAGTTCTCAAGGGGATTCAGTCTGCCAGTGTGTCCAGGTCAATGAAACATACTCTTTCGTTCAGTATCTGGTAGAACAAGAAGAATGACTGGACTCTAGTAAACAAACGCAAATAAAAGAAAACGCTGCCGATCTCCAAGAGCTCCGAGCAGAAGGTGATAAAAATGTAGAAGGCAGAGGGACACATTTCAATGCTGCGTGACATGATTTGGCCAACGTATCCGTGCTTATTTCTCCTCCTCCAGATGGGAACGGTCATAAAGTAGTCCTCCTCTCCAGAGAAACAGGAAACAAGGATACAGCACTCCCAGAACTTGCAGCTACTTGTCCGACTGAAAACACTTTGTAAAGATTTTCTATAGCTACACACAGACACCCGTACAAACTCACGTACGCACATGCGCTCACACATACACAGAAACATTCGTGGTCCATAATCTATCAGGTCTCTCTCCTGATTATATATATATATATATTTATTTTTTTGTTCTTTTTTAAGTAATTAAAATCTCTTTTTTTTGTAGGCTCAGTTTCAAATAACTAAATAAAGATTATCTATTTAAAGTGGGAATGTTTGTCATATTTCCCCTGAATAAATCATGACATATTTTGACTTTAACATCATTCCTGAAGCAAAACCATCCATGCCAGTTGTTTTGTTATGAGTCTGGTGTGTGTTCTTTGTCTGTTTGAGTGTGTATCTGTGTGTGCTTTGTGTCCGGTCTAGTCTAGGTGTTGTTGTTTTCTTTTCTATATATTGTGTTGGGTCTGCAGGGTTGATTTAGAGGAATAGCACTAACACAAGCACAGTCTCTCTTCTCTGCTTCTTTCTTGATGAACAATTATTCACAGGTGAAAAGAAAGAATGTATTCCCGTCGCTAAAAAGATAATGCTGACCTGAGGATGGGAAAGAAACAGAAGACAAAAAAAAAACATGGTTAGCCATATGAAGAAGAACAAAATGTTACAAATAGCTTAAGGGAACAGATGGTAGCATTCGTAAAGTGTTTGTGATCGGCAGCTGTATTTTCTCTCAAATATATTTGAATCTAGAGATAAAAATAACCTATTTTGTCATATATTGGATTTAAGCCCATTTGAAGACAACACTGTAAAACCCCAAAAGTTAAGGCAACTCAAACCATTTGAGGAAACCGATTGCAACACACCATTTAAGTTCAAAAACTAATCCTAATGAGTACTGTAAACTTAATCCATTTGAGTAAACGAAACAATCTGAGCACAATAATACCCAATAAATGAACCGAGTGCTACAAACCATTTAAGTTCAAAAACGAGTCTATGTGGGAACTGTGACCTTACTCCATTTAAGTTAAAGTAATGAAGTATTTAATTAACTTGTTACCTTCAACGCTGAGTTCAAAACTCTTTTTAAATGATTAGAGTTACCTTTCAGTCAATTTTGAGTTAACTACACTCATTTCATTTGTTAAAGTTGACTGTTTGGTTTTACAATGAAGTTAACTTACAAAACCGTTTCCTTGCACAAAAGAACCATGCCTGAAAATGCAACTGGTGCAATCATTTTTCCTCCAAAAGCATATTGTTTTGAAAAACAATAACATTGACCTAATAGGAGACAACTCTCCATTTATCTATATTTACCTGATGATCTGGGACCTGTATAACCCATTCACACAGGGCTTTAGCGTCAATTTGAATTTTGACATAGCAGCGTCAGCCAATGAAATTAGTCAGCAATAGGCCACTGTCTGAGCTGGTGTATTTGCATACAGCGATCTGATTGGCTGATGCTTCCATTGGCGCTTGAAAAGTTGAGCAAGTCTCAACTTCTGCAGCGGGCAACGCCACTGAAGCGGCGCCGACGGATCCACAATGCAGTTTGGCAATGCGTGACGTCACCCATTCAAAGTGAATGGGAAGCATTGAAGCTGACGCCCCGTGTGAATGTAGTTTTTCATAACAAAACTGAGTAAATGTAACCATAGTTACAGGACTGACAATTGTATTCTGCTGCTGTGAACACAGTCATTGATGTTTTTAGCCTGTGTTCATTCATGACTGAAACCTGAAGCACTGCTGTGTAACAGTTCGATTCATTCACCCGCACAGATCCCATACGTGTGGAAGCACCCCATCTATTTACAGTGTGTGTGTCCATGTGTGTGTGTACTCACATCTCTACTCAGAGTGAGGGCTGTCCACCACTATGTTTGGCTTGGGGGAGGGTGCGGCACTCTTTGACACATAAGTGTTTATGGATTTTTCCTAAGGAGAAGTAAACAAGAATTCAGAAGGAATATTTGGTCCATTTAATGCATTATACAGATAATTCATGATCACACAAGTATTAAACAGTGATGAAATGAGCTTCAATGCAAACCCTCTTTTACCAATAAATGAAATCCCTGTATGAATGTATTAAAAACATCCAGTTAAAATTTGTGATTTTTTACCATTAGTTATCTTTGGAGTTGAACTTATTGCATATGTATGTGATAAATGTAAGAGAGGACAGTATTTAAATGAATTGTGCAGCATGATTTATTAAGTTTAGCAAAACTTTATTTACTGGAATTTGCTCCACTATTCAATGCCAAAAATAAAAATGATAAAAAAGCTGCATCTAACATCGCTGCTGGAATAAAAGAGAGCACACGGTAGAAGGCGAGCATATTACACAATTGTACAAAAAAACAAAATACAAATACTTAAATGCCTGTAATCAAGCAGTTTTTGTCAGGAATTGTAATTTACTAATTTGTTTTGAAAATGTTTACTTTTACTTTCCCTTGAGTACATTTTTAGTGCAGTATCGGTACTTTTACTCCACAACTTTCCTTCAACCTCCCTACTTTACTCACTACTTTGTTTATTTTTGTCTATGGGGATTAGAAAACATCCAACACTAAAGTCAACCAAATATCAACGTCTAATGATGTTACAACTTGTGTGGATGTTACCACTATGATGTCAATCAAATGTTGGATTTTGGTTGCTATACCTGACAAATAAATGTAAGTATTTGACGTCAATATGACGTTGGTTTAAGATTACATGTAAATGCATCAGCTTTTAACAGCGTAATATTCATCACTTACTACTCTTGAGTACTTTTGAAAGGGCTACTTTTTACTCATACTTTAAGTAATATTTACAACAGATACTTTTACTCTACTTGCACTACAGTTTTAGGCAAGTAGTGGTAGTTTTACTCGAGTATGATTTGTCATTTCTCTTTCCACCACTGCACACTTGTGATGATTTACCTGGAAAGGCAAAATGATGTTAAAACCAATTTTACTAAATATTGACAGCTTTGCTGGCACCAAATCAGTGGAAATTAACAATTTGAATTCTTTTTAAATACAGAAATGCTGTATAACGTATATGGTATTCATATAAATGATCACTAACAATCATATTGATTATTATTAATGGCTTGTTTGCGACCGTACACCAATTTAATCTGTTCTTGCAGTATTACATTGGTCAGTCCGGAAATGAGCTGCTGCTTCCGTGTCCTTTAATAACTTGCAGAAATATCCTCTCTTATCAGTGCTTTTATGAGACTGTGATTTCATGGTAGTTTGCCCTGTTTAGCAAATCTGGTACAAAATATTCTATTGTATTTGCACTTATTACTTAACATGCTGGCAAACAGTAACAAATGCAAAGCAATGTTGATAATGTGTCTTTATGTATTAAGCATTATGCACTGAGCTGTACAAACCATTTTCCTAGGCAACCATATTTTTATGTCTTTATTTTTAAAAGCAGGATATTTCACCTCAAATCATTCATTAATGTCCATTTATTTCATAAGTAGCCATGTAATAGAAAAAAATATGTGCAAGCAGTCAAAAAATAAACCACCTCAACGGTCCTGATCCTAAATATGCTATACAGCATTACTTTTACATGTAACTCTTATTTTTATAGCTACGAGAAAGGTAAGTAATATACTGATTAGGGTAATAAGGTCTATTACAGGACATTATGAATGAATTGCCATGCATTATTAATGCTTTTAGTAGAATGCATTATATACAGTGCTCAACAAAAATCAGTAACATCCCATTTAGAAAAGGAATATTTTTATTCATTTCTCAGTGAATATAGGTCATATATTTTAGTGCATCTGAACAAAACAAATTTTATAAATGGATAAAATTATTAAAATAATATTTTCGTCAAAGAACATCTTTAGAAAGAGTAAGATAATACATTTAAATTCATGCAAAATATTGGTGTCACAGTCACTAGCGATCTAGCCCATGCAGATCGCTGGAGAACGTTCGAGGTTACTAAAGTAACCCTTCGTTCCCCGAGGAGGGGAACGGAAGCACTATAAGTGGATTTGATTGTAAAATCCACGCATTGGGAGGTTCGGTTCAGAAGCTACTCGTCTGAAAGAGTATTGAACGGGCCAATTAAGAATGAATTGGCAGCGCAAGCCTGCGCAGGTGAGCGGCATAAGCAATCAACTGAGTATATAAGCTCACCTGGCGCCAGCAGACGCTATCCTTTTTAAGCTGAAGAGACTTTCAACAGCTAAGGGACAGTCATTATGGCGACGGAGTATAGTGCTTCCGTTCCCCTCCTCGGGGAACGAAGGGTTACTTTAGTAACCTCGAACGTTCCCCTTCGGGGGGAACTTCAGCACTATAAGTGGATTTGATTGTAAAATCCACGCATTGGGAGCCCATTGAAAGCGCCATAATGACTGCACCTTACCAACACCCCCGATGAGGAGATAGTCAAGCAAGCGTGACGCACCCACATCATGGGGGGCGCGGTCCTCCAACGTGTCCCTGGCCCTAATTTATCCTACTTCAACAGAAGTTTTACGGATTATATATATTTTTTGGGAAGTCGTGAGCATCTAGATAATTCTAGGAAAATACGACAGTACGTTGGGAAGCGTGCAATTCCCATAGGGAGGACGCTGCGGAGGCCATCCGTTACCCAAGGGGGGATAGATGGCAGAATTACATATGGACTAGCCCTAAAAAGGGGGAGTACGCATAGCAAAGAGTGGTTAGTGGGGAGGGAAGGCACGGGTCCGCCCAGGGGGGGGACTTAACCGTGGCGGAATAAGCATATGGGATCGCCTAGTGGGGATCACTCATAGCAGGCACCTTTACCCAAAACGCGGGCTGACCAGCGGGCAGACCTACAACGTAGTGGGCCAGCAAGTGACTCCTCCGCTGAGTCAGTGCTGGGGGCCACGGAGGAATCTGCAGGGCTCACCTGACGGGGAACTTTACTGACAGATAAAAAGGCGCACGTATCTCCGTGTTAGGGAAAATGGCGCAGCAAGCGTGTTTCAACACCCTACCGAATTGTTTCCTCAATCACCAAGGGTTACCTAATACCCTTGAGGAAACCGGCTCCACTCGCAGATTGTAAAACCTTGCAAATGTGTTGGGTGTCACCCAGCCCGCAGCTCTACAGATGTCTGTTAGAGGGGCGCCGCGTGCGCGCGCTCGAGAGGATGCGAAGCTCCGAGTGGAGTGCGCACGCGCTCTCGGGGGACGCGGCTCATCTCGGCTCTGATAGTGAAAGAAAGGCATCCACAATCTAGTGGGAACTTATTTCGGTACGGCACTTCCCTGCTGCCGACCGCTATAACAGACGAAGAGCTGCTCAGATGATCTAAACTCTGAGTGCGGTCCGGATAATACGCAAAACGCGAACTGGACAATAAATAAGGGCTGGGTCTGCCTCCTCCGAGGGCAGCGCTTGCAGGCTCACTACCTCGTATTAAAACGGAGTGGTAGGAACCTTGGGCACATATCGCGGGCGGGGTCTCATACGTGAGAGAAGCCAGCCCAATTACAGGCACGAGTCACTGACCGAAAAATGCCTCCGGGTCCCCGACCCCTCTAATCGATATCAACGCGACCAGCAGAGCTGTCTTCAGGGACAGAAATATACTGAGTCGAGGATCGAAGGGATCTGACGCGGCTTGTGTAGCGAGGGCGAGATCCTAAGAGGGCATGAGAGGGGGCGGGGTGGATTAATTCGCTTAACGCCCCTGAGGAACCGGATGATGAGGTTATGCGTTCCCACGGTGCTGCCAGCCACCGCGTTATGAGAGCGGAGATGGCAGCCACGTAACCTTGAGTGTGGAGGGCGACAGCCTGCTCTCCAACTTCTCTCGGCGTAAAGAAAGCACAACGCTGATCTGGCAAATTACGGGGGTCTTCTCAGCGAGAGACACACCATTCAGTGAATAGACTTCACGTCAGGGCATAGGCGCGCTCGGGGAGGGGGCTCTAGCCCGAGTGACGGTATTAGCCACCGCAATCGGAGGTTACCTAAGTCTTCCTCGCGTCTAAAAATCTCTTCAAAGATCGGCGAGGGTGCCAGGTGGTGCCCTGTCCCTGAGAGAGTAGGTGCTCTCTCGAAGGGACTGCCAGGGGAGGGCTATCGCGAGGGAGAGCTCTGACATCCAGGTCCGGTTGAGCCAGAGGGGCGCAACCAGCAACCTGTTCCTCATCCTCCCTGACCTTGCACAGTAACTGCGCGAGCAGGCTCACTGGGGGAAACGCGTATTTGCGCGTGCCCCGAGGCCAGCTGTAAGCCAGTGCATCCGTGCCGAGAGCACTCGGTCAGGGAAAGAACAACTGGCAATGAGCGATCTCGGGGGAAGCAACAGATCGATCTGGGCTTCCCCGAATCGCGCCCATATCAGCTGAACAGACTCGGGGTGGAGTCTCCATTCTCCAGGATGCAAGGCTGCCGTGAGAGCGCATCGGCTGCACGGTTGAGCTTGCCTGAATATGAATGGCGTGCAGCGATTCAGCCGCGGATGACTCCAGAGGAGCAGACGGCGGGCGAGCTGAGACATGCGGCGAGAGCGCATACCCCCTATACGGCTGATATACGCCACCGCCGCCGTACTGTCCGTCCTGACCAGCACGTGTTGCCGCTCCAGCACCGGAAAAAAACGGTGGAGAGCGAGGAACACTGCCAACAGCTCCAGGCGATATGCCAATGCAACTGGGTACCTTTCCACAGGTCCGCAGCCGCATGCCCGCAACGCACAGCCCCCCAGCCCGTGTTGGAAGTGTCTGCTGAAACGACAACAAGACTGGACGCCTGTTCTAGAGACACCCAGGCCTGTAGGAACGAGGGGTCGCTCCAAGGGCTGAGGGCGCGGCGACACAGCGCAGTAACAGAGACTCGGTGCGCGCGCGTGCCATGCGCGTCTGGGGACTCGATCGTGAAGCCAGTGCTGAAGTGGTCTCATATAGAATAAT